ATTGTACCAATCGCGAAGAGCACGATTTTAGATCTATTATGCAAATTTCGGACATCGGTATCACATTTTAGGTTTCAATAGAATATGGATGACACGAGTTTAAATCGAGGTTTGCCTTTTCTAGTGCATCAAAGGACTACATATATATATATATATATCGATCGCAAGTATTTTATCATCAACCTTTATCTTTCTACTAAATTCACCGTGAAAATAAATGGTCACCCTAGTCTCGACCCATAAAACTTTCAAAAGCTGTGTTTTAACACTAATATTGCAAGTGCCGAATTCGCTTACTCGGTGAATAACGTGGCAACGAACGCGTTAAAAGAATAAAAACGCTCTTGTGAAATTTCGACGAACGATGGTCGACTGTCCGAGCGAGAACGACTAATTCAGGATGGATGATCAACAAGGTGTATAAGGCAACGTGGTTCTGTTTGTTCGACGGCCGACGGTCGACGGTGCAACAAGTCGGGTTAACAGCTGTGTCTAGTGCACATCTACGAGCAACAGTCATGGTGTTCCACATTTTTGGCCACGGTCCAAATTCTCGCTACCGAATACGGTCAGGTTGTGCCGATGAATGGCGAATCAACGAAAATACCGGCACGCCAGATAAGAAGCGCGACCGACAGAATAACCGAGCATTTAGAGTTTAGATCGATATCGAATGAACTTGTTCACGCGATATTCGATGCTGTTTAGTTAGACCAGAAATTCTTCAAGCGTGACTTGGGAGCTGATTTTCGTTATGTCTAGCACGATCATTACGAATCAAAGAAAAAATACAATTGTTAATGTATAAAATAGAAGTCCGTAGAATATTTTCACCTGTACGCGTCGCCTATTACTCGAATAGTTTTACCCTGTCGCTTTCATGTTTCCTCGATTCGATTAATAAGCAACCGGTGATCCTGTGTCGTGCTCGTTTGATGCATACGTTTCGTAACGAACACGAGCGAAAAATAATTGAGAAGGAAAAAGAAAAAAAGGAACGAAAGGTAACGTTGGCGCGTTGTAACGCGGATATTCGAGCGGTATCACGATCCAGCGGCTGAAAGGACACGCGATCGCGTTAGGGGCTGATTGCGTCGGTAATGATCGGACCGAGGATCAGATTGCAATGGAACGCGCGATCAATGAACACTTTCAGAAATCCTGTTACAACGGCAAAACTTTCCCTACGAACAAGTTTCTTCGTAATGTCGTATCGTGTCGCGTCGTATCGCATCGTTATTAACGAACACACGCTTCTTGCTGTACGAGGGTTAGAGCGGAACATTCGTCGAGCAGGAATTATTGAAACGAATGGTCCGGTCGTGTCGCGAAATAGCCAATTTAGAAGGAAGCGTTTCGCGAAAAGGACGCAGCACGGATCAACGGAAGAGCATAATTGATCGGCTGTTGGGTCAGGAACCCCCTCGTTACTAGTCGTTACACTCCAAGTGTCTCGTGGAGACGGGTATGGTTAAATTAAAATCTGCGCCCCTCGCGTTCGAGCGACGATTCTCTCCCGCTTTTAAATCGCTTCTATGCTATACCTTCAAAAATTCTCGGTGTGCGTTAACAACGAAATTTCTTAATAACGTATTGCTCGATTAATTTTCGAAAGATCCGCTTTACGCGGGGCCAACGTCCCACGGAGAATAAGGGAAAGGCGATCAAGATAAATCGTTTAACCGTGAACCTCGACGAAGGTCGTACAAACCATAAAATATGAGAACGTCGAAGGCAACGAATGAGGGGCGACGATCGAGATATTTGTTCAATGGAACCTACCGCTTACCTCAGGAACGTAGGCAGAGCTTTGCAAGGTGAAAAGCTGAGAAGCGAAATCTGAGACATGCACGATTGTTGGCTCGAAAGACCCGTTCAGGTCCACGTCGAGTACACTCCTCGTTCCTCTCCTCGATTACTGCGTTTCCTCTTGCTCTCTTCTCGCCCGAGACACTCGGCGATTCACTGGTTCATACGCGAAACGGCATCGAGCGTACTGCTAACGCGCCCGTTCGGACCACCTTTTTAACCAAAAATTTTAAGTAACCAACGAAAGAACCGACCCGATCGTAGCTGTGGCCTCGTCGATGTCGTTCCCGCGGAACGCACGTTCTCTCATTGATCTCGCGACGATGTCCACAGCAGCCACGCGATTATCTGCACGAGGTTGACCGAGACGAGTCACCCGAGCAGCGGAGAAGCGACGCCGGTGCGAAGCGCTGACTGAACCACTGGCAAACCACCGAGGGGTGGTCCGTATCGCGAACGTCCCTCTACCTCTTTCTCCCGCTCTGCTTTCTCTCTCTCTCTCTCTCTCTCTCTATATATATATATATATTCCCCTCCTCACCCCTGTTCCCTTCCACCCTATTTTGCTCGCTATTTCTCTTTTACGCGTTTCTGCTGCCGCCACCGTTCTTTTGCTTCAGCCTTCGTCTAAAGGTGTATTTTTGACCCCGATTCCCGATATCTTGGCCCGTTTTGCGTTTTCTTTCACTTTAGGCCATTTCTCTGCTAGTCTGCTTTCCTTCCCTGCCAAACAACTTTACGGGCAAGTCTCATTTTCTCTCCTTCTGTTTCTGTTTCTCTGATCCCTGCATCTCTTGTTCCTGTTGCTCCTACCACTACTACCTTTCGCTCTAACAAGTAGCTGTAGTTGTAACTGGCTTTCTTCGTTCTTCCTGTCTACTCTGTTCTCATTCGTTGTTATACCCTACCCTTCTGAACCCCGCTCCTTCCCGACGAGGTTTGTTCAACGCCGTTAGCACAACGGCGCATACACGGTACATTTCGTAGCAGAAAGAAGTGCACGATCCTACGATCCTGCGCGTTATCAACGGGATTTGTCTATACGCTTCGCATGCTCGGACATTCCTCGCGTTCGTTATCGTTGCGCGAGAACAAACTTGTGCGAACATTCTACAGTACAAGGAGACTTGGTACATGTAATACATGAGACATTTGTACTGTTGATATCGGTCAAATATCACCGAGAAACGGAGCCAAAACTCGCTCGATAAATGTCGTATGGAGACGCGTGTTTTCATTCTTTCGATGAAACGAACTGCCTTTCGAGAATAAAATTCTTTCTAATCTCGACATGTAAGTTTCATGTATGCACACGAACGTTGATCTTACCGTGAATACGTTCTAGTTCGGATGAACATCGGATTGACCTTGTCGGATCTGTTTAATATATTGATTTTAGTGCATATAGGTCTGGTAATCGTAACGTTGTATACACCTATGTTTGTTGCAGCCTTCTGAAATGCTTTCCTGTTACATCCAGCTAATGCCTCTTTTCGCGTAGATAAAGAGGCTAAATATCTCTCTCTCTCTCTCTCTCTCTCTATATATATATATATATTCCCCTCCTCACCCCTGTTCCCTTCCACCCTATTTTGCTCGCTATTTCTCTTTTACGCGTTTCTGCTGCCGCCACCGTTCTTTTGCTTCAGCCTTCGTCTAAAGGTGTATTTTTGACCCCGATTCCCGATATCTTGGCCCGTTTTGCGTTTTCTTTCACTTTAGGCCATTTCTCTGCTAGTCTGCTTTCCTTCCCTGCCAAACAACTTTACGGGCAAGTCTCATTTTCTCTCCTTCTGTTTCTGTTTCTCTGATCCCTGCATCTCTTGTTCCTGTTGCTCCTACCACTACTACCTTTCGCTCTAACAAGTAGCTGTAGTTGTAACTGGCTTTCTTCGTTCTTCCTGTCTACTCTGTTCTCATTCGTTGTTATACCCTACCCTTCTGAACCCCGCTCCTTCCCGACGAGGTTTGTTCAACGCCGTTAGCACAACGGCGCATACACGGTACATTTCGTAGCAGAAAGAAGTGCACGATCCTACGATCCTGCGCGTTATCAACGGGATTTGTCTATACGCTTCGCATGCTCGGACATTCCTCGCGTTCGTTATCGTTGCGCGAGAACAAACTTGTGCGAACATTCTACAGTACAAGGAGACTTGGTACATGTAATACATGAGACATTTGTACTGTTGATATCGGTCAAATATCACCGAGAAACGGAGCCAAAACTCGCTCGATAAATGTCGTATGGAGACGCGTGTTTTCATTCTTTCGATGAAACGAACTGCCTTTCGAGAATAAAATTCTTTCTAATCTCGACATGTAAGTTTCATGTATGCACACGAACGTTGATCTTACCGTGAATACGTTCTAGTTCGGATGAACATCGGATTGACCTTGTCGGATCTGTTTAATATATTGATTTTAGTGCATATAGGTCTGGTAATCGTAACGTTGTATACACCTATGTTTGTTGCAGCCTTCTGAAATGCTTTCCTGTTACATCCAGCTAATGCCTCTTTTCGCGTAGATAAAGAGGCTAAATATAAGCCTGTGATGTGTTAATTTTCACCAACGTACGTTGTCCCTTCCAATTACTCATGCAAGATTGGTTCATTGAACTTGTTCGTGTACTACGACGATGTTACGCTTGATGTTGTGCTTGCCGTTAAAGCATTCGAGCGTTAAAATTAAAGAAAGCACGTGTATAGGGTTCTCTTTAGTTTCATGCATATTCGAAATTCTGTATTTTAAGTAACTAAACTATTTACTTCCATAAATATCATGTAATCTCATTTCTCGACAGACACTTAATACCCACAATTGAGATCAATAATTTTCTAATTTTCTATAGAGTATCATTAACTTCTTTGAAAGTATTTTCTAATTCATCTTATGTTTCTTATATTTCTATCTGCGTAATAGTTAAGTATATGTGTTAAACAAATAACTTTATAGGATATGCCGTAAACGGTTCTAAAGGTCCGCACCTCGTCAAAAAATAATCGTAAATTAATAATCGTTTTATTACAACACTTTTCGGAATCGTGCTAATAAAATAAAACTATAATATTATCGCGTGTAAAGTATGACTTTTATATATATGTATGTATATATATATATACCATATGTGTGTGATGCTGCAAATTTTTATTGCAAACAATAATATAGCATTGTTGAACTATACGTAATCTTGTTCCTCGATAATCTATTTTATTTTACAAGAAAGAAGATAAAAAGGAACTTGAAATCTGTACACATTCGATGCTAACTTACTTTACTATGTTCTATTTAAATTGTATATATAAACTGTTTTCTTTAAAGTACAGTTTTTGTTACTTCAATGTTTGGATTCGATCGACAATCTATCGTCGGTCCTGATTCTTGCGACTTTAGGATCATTGGGTCTGAAAACTAAAATTAATGTATGTCAGTAACGCGAAAACCAAATTGGGAAATTTATATAGATGTAATTGTTGTTATTAATAGAAACAAGTATTTAACGCTATGAGACCAAAGGCACCCTAAATCCAGTCCTTACAAGAAGAACCATCGATGCCGAAACCACAGATGCGTGAACTTTCGAGAAATATAAATCCACAATAAATACACAGAATAGGTTAAAAAAATTTGTTCTGGTCACAAAGTGTTAAATATTTGTATAATAATGAAACCTAACCTATGTAATGAGCTCGAAAAAGAGCATTAAAAAACTTACTAGTTATATCATCGAAATACCGTGGCAGCCTTTTTGCCTCTTCCAGTTGTGCACGAACAAGCCAAACCAATCCGAACAAACCCACTATCGTAGGAGGTACAAATACCATAATTTCAGGGATTTCTTCCCATCCTTTACGCCATAAGTATTTCACTTGATATCCTGCAACAAATCACGATTCTTAATAACTATAAATATCTTCCTACAATGCGTTTTCTTATCGAACGTACCGAAAGGTTGACCATATATCTTACGGAGATCGTCCCTAATAATTATATCCCTTAGAATTTTCACCATTTTTGTAGCTTTATATAACTCGTTACTTGTCACCGACTTCGAGTATCGATACACGAGAGCATATGTCGTGTTAGACGATAGATAGAAGGTCGAGAGCGAGGTAAATTTGAATAGTAGAAAAGTTTAAGCACGCTATTTAGCGATACGATTAAATGGGGTTTAGGTGCAGTGGCATTAATCTTGCTATAATTGATTTCGTACCGACTATTCTTTTAATAAGAAATAAGAATATCGATTCGTTCGTAAAAAAGTTATCTCCAATTATCTCTAATAATTTCTCCGATATTTTACGCATAATTTAAAACAAATTTATATCGTTGAAGAGAAAATGCGATACTTTCAGGATGAAAAAAAAACATTCTTTTCATGCAACTGTTTTGCTGCGTCGTAAAAGCATAGAGTTTATAAAGTGACCGCGAACGTAGATATTTTAATGGAAAGCTTATTAGGCTCACTTCAATTGTATCGTTCTGCCATCTGACGAGCGGCGTGGCAAGGTAAAGCGAGACGGCAGTGATGGCCGCCATCGCGAGGCCTTTAATCAGTGACAAGTGATTCGGAACGGTGTTTTTTCGCATTTAGTGTTAAAGGAATTGAATATATTTAGCTGGGAGCCACGGTTCAGGCCCCGCCGGGCCTTAATAATCGGGTGAGTGATCAAATCTTGGTAAATTAAAAATCCTACGCGTAGGAGAATCAATGGTTTGCGCGGCTACTTCACACCCCTGTTCCCACGCACGACTTTTTGCATTGGTCTTCTTAAATGATTCCGTTGTTTTTCGATACTGTCATCCGTACGCGTGTTCCGCTCTAGATCGATATCACCGGGCGCACCGACGGCCACGGTTAACCAACTGCGAACAGACGTATCGGAACTATCCGGAACACGCGTTCACTTCAATTATGTCATTAAAATTTTTCTACGATAACCAAGTTAGAATTTGTCGCGTACGCATCGACTAGATCGTGTTCTTTTCGACGAACGAAACGACAATGTAATCGCAGCTGATTGCTCGGAGTTTTTTAAAATAAATGTTTACTCTATTTTGGGGTTAAGTCGGGCCTCCCACATCGTCGAAACGTTGTTTCTTGGCATCGATAAAACTGAACACTTTTCGTGGTTGGTCCGTGCGTTGTCAGATGACTCCACGCGTTACGATTCGTGAAAGTATCGTGTATGGTTCGCGATACGTCGTTTTTATCGCTATTAACGCGATTACGGATAAAAGGTGTTTTTGTTTTATCAGCGATCGAATCGTTTCGAGCGACACAGCTTTTATAATCGTTACGTTCGTATTCCGATATGCGTCGAGATACGATATGCGGTTAACTTCACTCTGTTCCGAACCACCGACGCACCCTATGCGTCATGCACTATCTATCCTACATAACCGATGACTCACCATATGCGTCGTGGGACGGAATCGATGTAACCGTTCAGTAGTCGAAAAGCAGTCGAAGAAATAAGCACGTAACGACGTAAAGTGATCGTAAATCTGGTATAATCGTTAAAATCGATATTACTTTGAAGTTGCAACGAAGAAATGAACAGTCCAGGACCGTCGTCGTCCGGTGGCTATCCGTGTGTGCGCTGCGACGAGGGGGCTAGCGATATTCTGTCGATAAGTAACCAGAAGAAACGAAAATTAACCACGGAAGACAGCGATGAGAGCGATTATCAGGACACCGAGTATCAGGACAGTGCGATCATGTATTACGATGAATTCGATCGCGATAACAGCGAAGCGACCTTCGACGAGACGGACAACGAAAGCGACGTCGATTTAGAGAGCGAGGAATTGAACGAGTTGTTCGAAGACGTCGACGACGCTGACGAGTGGACTTGCGACGGTGACTTTCAAAGATTATCGTTCGAGGGTAATCCAGGTTTGCAATGTGCACCGAACGGAGCGGACCCCTACGACTTCTTCGAGTTCTTGTTCGATAATTATTTCTTTTCGACGATCGCGATGGAGACGAATCGATACGCGGAAACGAAAAGCAACAATCAATGGAAGGAGATGACCGTGACGGAATTCAAGACGTTTCTGGGCCTGTTGTTACACATGGGTACCATCAAATGCCCGAAATTACAAAACTATTGGAGCACCCATCGATTATTTGGTTTCCATTGTTTCCCTCAACGCATGAGCAGAAACAGATTTCACGATATTCTACGTTCGTTGCGTTTCTCTTCCGTCAACGGAAGCAACGATCGGTCGAGTAAGATTCAACCGGTCATCGATTATTTCAACGATAAAATGAAACAAGTTTATTACCCGCACAAAGAGTTGTCCTTGAACGAGATATCGCTCGGTGGAAGAGACAGATCAGCGTTCCGACGACACGTCGCAGAGAAGAAACACCGACGCGGCGTCAAACTGTACGCCTTGACCGATAGTTCCGGCATGGTTGTCCGCCTCGAAGCGTCCACCGCGACCGCAGCTGCGAGCGCATGCGCGACCGAAAGCGGAACCGGAGACGACGTGAGCGGCAGAGCTCACGTGACCCAAGTGGCGCTACGTTTGATGGAGGATTTCTTACAGAAAGGACATTCGGTGTTTGTCGATCGTTTTTGTTCGAGTTTCGCGCTGAGCAAACAGTTGCTCGAGGAGAAAACTTATTCGACGTCGGTGCTACGGGGATTAAGAAAAGCAAACGGCGAGGATGTGATCAAAACGAGGCTGGTTAGAGGCGAGGCGATATCTCGTCGTAAAGATAACTTTATGATTGGTAAATTCAGGGACGAGAAGGAAGTTTTATTTCTTTCCAGCGAGTTTACGGCGGACATGGTGGAGTTGGAGAATAAAAGGAAGGAGAAATATAAGAAACCTTTCGCTCTCCATAAATATAACGAATCGATGAGCAACGTTACGAAAAGGAATTATATGTTATCGTGTTACACTTGCTCCAGAAGAACGTTTAAATGGTATATTCAGTTATGGATAAACGCGATCGAAATGTTGTTGTTGAATTCGTTTTTTCTCTATTACAAGTATTCACCGTTGGTTAGCAAATTGAATTTTCACGATTTTCGTTTGAACATTATCGACTCTCTGTTGTTCGAAAATCATAGGGAAAACGTGCATCTTGCTTACCGCGAATCCGAACATTTACCCGAAATGTTGCCCAGAGGTTTAAATAATAAAGTAAGAAGAAAGAGGTGTAGACAGTGCTTCGCGAGTTGCGTGAGAAAAGAAACGAATTATTTCTGTAGCGGGTGTAAGGACAATCCGGGCTTGTGTTTAGGAAAATGTTTTAGGGAGTATCATAAGCGTAAATGATATTTTTATGGATTATTCGTTGCGAACATTTTATATTTTATATTATACGTACGAGTATATATTTTACTCGAGCTGTTTCCGTGTACTTTCACGACGTTTCCGATCAAATTCACATTTATTCGCTCGTTCTTCTACAATAGTTGCACAATTACGTTTCTATTTTACGGAGCTTTGCTTTTTATCGTTAGTTTTCAACTTAGATACGATTATTTCCTACGATTACTTTATTGTATACGTGCTATGGAAAATATGAAAATTATTTATTTTACCGTTAACATATTAGCAGAGAGATTTTACTCCGTCGAATATTTCTTTATTTTCTTCTTTACGAAGAGAAAAGTTAGTTAACTTTAGGACTAATTTTGGTTTATACAAAGATAGATGGAAACAAACAAATTTATAGGGCAATATCTTTTTGTACCGTTCTTTCTGTGTGTTACCTAATCTTTTAATCTCCCACATTTTCGAAATAAATTTTATTTTTGATCAAGTACTTACCGATTTGTATTTTATGCGTATAACACACGCGCACACATACGCACACACACGCACACGTACACACATACGATATAAACTTGCTTTTTGTTTTAATTCAGTTAATTATTCATTATTAAATAACAGTTTTGTAGACTTTCATATTTTTTTTCTAACCTCAACAACTATTTTTTCCTATAATAATAAATAGAAACAATTATTAGTATCGAGGATAATACCATCTGACTTTTTAGTCTTTTTAGCAAATTGTGCGAATTACACGTAAACGTTTCATTCCTGAACATTCGTTACGACTCATCCTTTATATTATCAGAGTGAAATGATTTCAAAATGCAACTGCATATATTTTGTCAGCATATCTTCCGAAATAATCGCGATTCGACTATATGCCAATTAACGTTTGCTCTTATCTCGAACGTAATTGACATCGAACAATAACGAACAAACGAAATCGCTAGAAAATCGTGGGCTAATTCATCCATCAAAAGGAAACGATTAAAATAGTAGATTTTAATAACCTACTTGGAAGGTAATTTAGCAACGTTACGTTTCAGCATTTGCAACGCGTTGGCCGAAGCGAAGTTAGTAAGAATTTTTTGATTATTTATCGCGAAACTTGCGAACTCTGAAATGCCGCGTGACACATAGACTCGCGTGCACCCACAACAAGGATATTTTTGTTTCGTTGGATTCGCGTGTGCCAGAAACCGTTCATATTTATGAAATACTTTATCTCGGCCGACCGTTTCAAAGATGATTCGCGATTTTCCTCGAACGAAAAAAGTTTTCGAACTCGAGGACGAAATCTTCCTCCGTTTGCTGCGTCGTTTATCCGAGAGTTCGGTTGCCGATACGGGTCCAATGGACGAGCGTTATCAATATTTCCCGGTAATTAAACCCGACGAAAGGAAGATTCGAACGTCGACGAGCCTCAGTTCGCCACGAACTGAGCTATCGAGCTTGTAAAATTTCTCATGTTTTCGTTTCGGCTGATTTCACGAAGCGTACGGTACTCAAGACGTTAACGTTAAGACAGAACGATTAACTCCGCTACGCAGAAAAATAATTGAACGGCTACAAAGTAAAAAGGACGAAGAGGAGTTCGGTAACCGCGATAAATCGTCTCTCGCTTAATTGGCCAGTTTTTTCGCAACCGTTCGATGCGAATAGTTCGACGAAAGAAAGGAGCAAGAATTGACAGTGATCGATTCGCTGGATCCGCGGGGTTGAGGGGGATGAGTCGAGGGGAAGCTTCGCGATAATTACAAGCGCGTTTCTTGCGTAGCTCGTTGGACGAATTCTCGTGGACGTTGGCGAAACGCGATCTTTTCGACCGATGCAGCCCGCTTTTCGTCGCCGAACGCCCTGGAATTTTGGAATTCTCCGAGAAAAAGCGAGTGCTCGCGTCTCTGCTCGACAAGAAGTTACGCTTCTGAACATCGGCGACACGTGCACTGTCCGGACCACACACGTGGTTTCGAGCTAACCGCGACGCCGCGCCGCGTTCCGTTTTACATTTTACACGATTTTTCAACGACTTTTCAACGATTTTTAAACGATTTTTCCACGATCGCGTACTTTTCAACATCCATACGATAGTGGCGATAACGATATCGATGGAAAATTGATCGATCACGCGTTCGTACGGTTAAACTTTGTTTATATAATAGCAATTTCCGGAAAACTGCTAGATTAAGCAAATAATAGTACGAAACATTAATCTAGCAGTGGCATAGTGATCCGTAGAAGCCGAACTCGTCCGAGAGATTCCCGAGTAGATGTACCAAGTTGCATACGTTTGCGCATCGCATCGAACCGATATTTATTCATGATCCTGTTCGCATGCTCGCCTTTCCACCTGTACCAATATCTTTCTGTCAACGATAAAATCTGCGCTCGCCGTTCTTCTCTCCATTCTCCTCGTTCACTTTATTCACTTTTCCTCGATATTACCCTTCGATCTTGCTATTTGTATTCTAAATTACCGTATCGTTTCGAACAACGATAAACAGATATATAATTTAGTAATCGTTGGGAATTCGTTAAATGCACGCGTTGTTCGTTATCTGGTAAGTAGACACGTTGCCCTCGAACTCGTATAAATCATTTATACGAGGAAAGGAAAACGATGCAACGTAATCGAGTGATCGTTGCTTTGGAGCGTGTTACCGAACTCTTGTTAGCTAATTAGCTTGTATTTAGGATGCAACGAGGGAAACCCGAGACATACAGACGGTGTCAGTGGTTTAGCAGAAACGAGTCGGATGGAAAGCAGAAAGACGATGTTAATCCACGAACATAGAGAATTGTTTGTGAAACGTTGGTAGCGTGGCTTAGCGCGGCGGACACGAAGGGCTGGCCACGTCCCCCGTAATATTTAGGTCGTGCTGGGCCCCGTCGCGCGTCTCTCGCAGAAATTTATTTTCTCATTCTAGTTAAACGTTACGCTGACAAATCTTGTCCGTCGCGCCTGTTGCTTATTACTTGGACTTCAGCGAGTCTGAAACGTGTTTGCCGTCTCGCTTTTCCGTGGACTCTCTCGACGAAACCGATTCTCTTGCCAATGGTGATTGTAACGGACTTTGAATCAAGTACGAGGTGAATTGCTTTTTCATTGAACCGTTGCTTTTATTGGCTGACTCTGTCCGTTGGCTAAAAAATCTTACGGTTTGTCGTTGTCAGTCCGAAACACGTGTACCTGGACCTCTCCGTGTTTATACTTTATGTCCTTAGGTAATTGCAGATAACGAGAGCATGGTAGTTAAGGCCTTAACCTAAGGTCGCATATTACGTCTACGTATTTCGAAGCTGGCAAGGGCCTGATCTGGCATAGATCACGCTCCAACGCGTTATTATGCGAGAAACGTACACGAAGCGTAGGTTGCCGTACGGGCAAGTATTATTGTCATTTTGGCAGTCCGTGGGGTTTTCATGATTTAACGTCTCAAAGCGTTAATCGTTCGCCAAAGCGGGATCCTGTGAACCCTTCGAAACTGAATCTTTCTCGCGAGAGGAGTTCTAGAATGGCGAAAGCAAACGTTTCCTAGGTAATAGGCTATTTCCTAGGTAATAGTGCATACGCATACGTGAAGAAAATCTAAGGACAGGTCATGCATTCTTAAAACTCGTATCTTACTTTGATTGTCTTAACGTACGGGAATGTTGTACGTGCATGTAATATGTTGCTTTCTATTTCGAACTGTAAAACCAACCAAAATATCTTGTACCAACTGTAAATACGGCGCTTCGAACAAAAGTAACAAGAATCGTTGTTTATTGGTCGCATTGTAACGAGCTATCGCAGAGAGCCTCGAAAATGAAGTTGTACCCGGTGCCAAGTAACTGACCACTGCCAAATCGAAGTAGTCGTAACAACGCGACTAAGGCTTTTGTATTCGTTGCTTCGTAACGCGATAAGAAATTTTAGTAAAATATTACCAGCGTGGACACTTGCCAATCGTTAAACGATCGGTTCGTTGGAAAACTTAAAGATTCGAATAACGTTAATCGGGATCTTTCGTTTCTAGATTTTCCCAGTTCTCTAATTATTCCATCGTCCTATATACATGTTTCACGAGAAACAAAAGTTTAAATAGCATCGATATTACGATTATTAAAGAATATTCCTTCCCTTTGGAAATTTATGCTACGGAACAATGTAACGTGGAATTTCTGTCGATGTTCGGGCATCGTTTCTAATTCGAGACTAGTCGAGCAGACTTCGCACCTGTCATCCGCTGCCAAATGTCTCGAATCATTAAAACAGAAAACATAAACGTTTATGTTAAAAGTATCCGTCGAACAGAGGCAAGAGTCCGGCACTTGGCTCGTTTCGCGAAATCCTTCTCGGTCCGTGTCGGTTTAAAGCCACATACCGTTCCGTCCGTTTAATGACTCGTCAAATCGGCCAACGTTTTTCTTTCCCGTCAACCAAAGTGCTATCGTTTTTGAAAAAGAACTATTACAATTTCGGTAATTCTTTGGTAAATAAGCGAACATCTTTCGACAAACGATATAGGGATACAGGTGTTGTTTCCGGCGTTCGATGGCTACAGCGAAAGGATCGTGCCCGAAGCATCGATCGCGAAACGCTGCGATCGTACCGACCGACGAGAATTTCGCTCGTCGTAATAGTATAACCGAGCTGTTTCGCCTGGCGCGGTTAGTTTCTATGAATTATTTTTGAGTGGTTGAGTTATCGCGCTCTAGCCGCGCGAGATCTCTCGAAATAAAGACGTCTCGGTCAGGGAGCAGAGAGACTCTCGCCTCGCGACAACGCGTTTCCCTATATTACAGAGGTGCCTCAGGAGAGAGCACCTGTCCGACTTTGTCAGTCTCTAGTCCGGATTATAAGCTTCCGACTGGCCGAGAGTTCGCGATTTACACCCTGTACGCGGATAAATTCACTCGACTTGCCAGCCGAAAATTTCCGAATCTCCCGCGTTCCTACGTTTCTCGATCATCTTTCGTATTACCGCGTTTGCCGTGGCAGACACATTTTTTTCTCCGCTTTCCTACCTATTTTTTCTAACGAGACAAGTTTGTCTCGTAAAATGTCCAAATCGACGTATCGTCGGATAGTATCGTTACGAGGTAGGTAGAACGAAGAGGATACGCGATCGACGCTACGAAAGGTGTTGCTCCCTTCGGTCGATAAAAATCGGTCACAGAGCCGACTTAACAGCGACCGTCGCGTCGCGTCGCGTCGACACGCACAACCCGAAATAGTTAAGCCGAGTTCTCGGAGCAGCATCGGCTTAGGCGCATCTCGTTGCTATTTGACAACGCCTACGCGTCTGCCTAGTCTGGATTAGGATTCACTGGTAGATTTCGTAACGACGCAATGCCGATTAAACGGACGAAACAATCGCTATACCTAGCAATTGATAATTCGTCCTTTAACGGTAATAACGAGTTAGTTGGTTGCGGTTATCGAACGAATATCGTGAGTCGTCGGTTTGCGGTAAATAGGTTGAACACGAGAAAAGGGTCGAGAGG